CTTTTTCTTATGGGCATATTCCCCCATTGCTGGTAATTTCCAGAGGATTTAAAGATAATTTAGGGCTGCTTAATGATGAAAGTTGATTTTTCTTCCTATTCAACAGCTACAGATGTAGTGCTTCAATGGATGTTTACATGGTCTGTCTGCCTGAACCTGGGGTGTATCTTGACTTAAAAACATTAGAACTCTGTTAAATTCATTCTGTTTGCTTCTGTATGTCTGCTAAAGGTCTTTAATTCTAAATGGTTGCAGATGCTACAGCAGTTATTATGTCTCTCTTTCCAGCTTTTCCAGAAACAGACACAATTGCTTCCTTCCATTCTTTGTATCTGAAAAGGCTCTGTCACCTAGACTTAACATTTTTCAGCTCTCAGCTTAATGGTTTAGAGGGAATGGAATTGAAATGGAGTGTTGAATTAATCCTGTGTGATCTAAGTGCCCCTCGAATCTGAAAGCATGTTTCTTCTACAAATAGCTCAGTTACTTGGAAAATTGTTCGTTTCTATTTGGCTCCCCCAGCTTCACAATTAAGGGTTATTTAAATACTGTGTTCTTCTTTTTATCTGCTTTCTTTTTCAGGGAAAGACTTTCACTTTTATCCCTTATCAGGTTCACCTTCTAATTGTCAAGTCATAGAATGGTTTGGGTTAGAAAGATCTAGAGTAGAACTCTTCCCATTATTCTTTGCTATTTTTATGAAGTGCTGTTTTATTGTTCCCATCTTGCTCTGATAGTTTTCTGCTAAAGTATTATTGTGTTTTATTTATCCCAGTATTTAACAGTACTCATTATACCTGTAAATGAATCAAAATTATTTGTTCATATTTCACTTCAGAGTCTTTTAGTTAGGGCTGTTTCTTGTTTTGTTTTGTTGTTTTTTTTTTCACAATGCACTTTTTGATATTAGTTCCTTGTGCTTCTGTTGTGGTTTCTGGTTTTCTATCTCAACGGGGTTTCCCATCAGAAATTCACTTCCTTTGGTTAGATGAAGCCAAAGAAGAAGCTCCCTGAGAAGCCTTGCTGACATGAGCATTTGGACCAATATGCTGGGGTTAGTTGTAAGATGGGGGCTTTAGATGTGGGTTTTCCATTGAAAAGCTGATCTGCCCACTCATGCAGCTTCAGCTTCCATGCTGCTCTTCTCTTTTTAAGTCCTAGAAAAGGTAATTCCATGCTTAAACCTAACCTCTGCAATAATTTATCCAAATATCTGATTTTATGATTGTAATTATTCTATGGTTCTTAGTGAAATCTATTACAGATTTAATGATAGCCAAATAAATAAATCTTAAGACTGGATCATAACTTACAATCCACGTTGAGATGGCCCCCAATGGGATATGCAAATGTTTCATATTTAGTGGTAAGGACATGAGTCTGAAGGAGATAATATCTTATTTCAGGCTAAAATTCAATTTGTAAAGCATTTTCAATATTTTTTGTCTTTCTTGGGGTAAAAAGCTTCATACATGAGATGTACTTGGAGATGATTGGGCAAAGCTCTTTCAAAAATAAGGCCCAGTAAATAGCTATAAAGAGCTCTTATGAGAATTAAAATGCCAAAATAGCATTCTTTTGGTAACCAACTACAATGCTTTATAAGACAGACAAAAAAATTAGAACAAATCGGGAATTCACAGGAGTATGTGCAACATTAAGGCTGGCACAGCAAGTTTCCCCTTGCTGTAGTGACAATAATAGTGGTGTCAACCTTTGTTTGCAGAAATCATCATTGATCCTTTGGCTTTGGTGGCTCTATACCAATTTCCACCAGCTAAGGAAACAGTACCATAACTCCATCAATTACAATAAAAGTCTATATTTTGCATTGCAGAGAGTTTGCAATTTGTAGAATTATTTGTAAGGCAATTGAAGCATTTGAAATTCTGATATGTCCTCATCTTTTCATATTTGAAGTAATAAAAAACCCCTGTGTTTTAAAGTATAGACTAAACATTTCCAATACAAATCAGAGACTTTTAGAGTCAGTTTCATAATCTGATTTGCTAATATGATATGATGCCATAATTTTTTTTTGTTTGTTTTTATGTTTCCCTTTCAGTTTGTTTGGGGCATTTTTATATGTCTTCTATACTAAATTATCTGACTAAAAGAATGGTAAACAATAACAATAATAAGCTGCATTCATTTCCTTTTTGTGTTTGTTTGGAGGTTTGACTTTAGTTTATTTGTTGGGGTTTATTAAGGAGAGATTTCTTTGTATTCCAGGGCTGGGAATGTGAATTCAGGGATTTTCTGAGCCAACTAATTTGAAATTCAGACTGCAGACTCATTCACTGTGAGACATTCATGCCCAGATCATCACTGCACACTACATGTAAAAGAAGAGGCCTCTCCATGTGTTGATCCCTGTTCTTTCTGCGTAGAGCAAAGGCTTCATCCTTGCTCCAAGAAACTTTCTAGTTTCTTTTGAGCCTTGAATGGAGCACAATGGCAGAGATTTAAATGTTCACAGGTCAGCATGGTTAGACTCAGGATGTGAGCACAGGCATGTGATCCCTCAACTTTCCCACTTTCAGGGAGACAATATCTGTGGTGGTGTAATTATTGTGTAATTTACACCATGGGGATTCAAGACAAAGGTTATTACAGAACTAATTGGCCAGAAGAGTAGTGGCAAAGGCATCTGTCAAGGGCCAGAACAAGTATGGAAACACAGAAAATCTCTGTGGCTGTCATGTTGAGGATGTTTTTTTATAAAGTACCCTCTATTTTGAGGGGTCTATTTGGGCAGTTACAAATTGCCTGATGTTCAAAAAACTTCAGTAAATTTACAAATGCTAGGTGAGAAAACTTGCCATTTGAAGTTTTCAATTCCTTTAGGATGGGCAAGGCTGGTTTTCATTCTATATTTGAACAATGCCTCATGCAAGAATCTTTATGCTTTCTCAAACTCTCTGACAAGTGCTGTAATACACTATTTAGTTCTGGGTTTTATTCAGATGTAAAAATACTTCTACTGTACCATCACTGTGAGGTATCTTTCATGCCAAACAGAGATGGAAGAAAATTCTGAAGCTTCAACAAAATTCTGTTGTTTGAAGTTTATTTTTAAAACATGGAGGAAGGAGAAGAGCTCGATGTTGTGGTTTCTAACGGACACTCAAATTTTGTTATCAGGCACATCAATTGAGACATTGAGATGTGAAGAGTAAGTTCTCTTTCTCAGACATTTATCTGGAATCCATCCTCCCATCCAATTCAAAAATCAAAGGAGGCTTTCTCCTCTAATAGTACATCTTAGTAGAGGTCATCATGCTGCCAATCTTGGCTGCACTGTGGTGTGTTACAGGAGTCAGCTGACACTCAGTCCTCAGCTGCACCTTCCTCTGCCTCTTCTGAACACCTACAGGGAGGCAGGCTGGGCTCTGGCTCTAAGATCGTGTTGGGCCAAAGATTCAATGCATAAATGGGCTGCAGAGTTTAAAACTCCCCCACAAGACAGCATTTGCTCTTGCTCTTATGCTGTGTGCTTGTGCTGTGTATGGCACTCTCCCATTTCCTCTGAAAATAAACCTTTTGCTGACCTGCCTTCTGGTATAACCTCTCATATGAAACAAGAAATTTCTGATAGAGAGATTTGATTTAGGAAGATGGATCATTTTAGTGGTGGTAAAACCATTAGCTTTCATTCTTGACCTTCACCCTCTTTCACTATGCCCAGCCAGCGCACCCTCAAGGCTGCTTGTGCACTTTGGGAATTTAGCTTAACTTACTGCTATAATATATTTAGTTGCTGATTTGGGTATTAGGAAGCAAAGAAGAAAAACATTAAAATATTTTCCTTCCCCTTTCCCAGGCTCAGCTGCACTCCAGACACATCTCCTCTCTTCTTGTTATCTCCACAGGTTATAGTCAGTTCCTTTGGTGAGGAAATGAGTGGCACAGGGGTTTGGGGTCAAGACATCGTGGCTTCTCACCCTTTTCTTCCACTGCTGCTTCCTTCTCACTGATTTCCTCTGCTCCACTGTGGTCACTCTGTGGGCCACAATCTCTTTGGTGTTGTGGCTGCTCAGTTATGGAGCATCTCCAAGTCCTCTGACCTTGCTGTTCCCTCATTTCCTTGTTTCTCTCCTTGTCACATTCCCTCCTTGTCCTCTCTGGTTGCCAATTAATTTTCTTTTATAATCCCAAAGTCAGACCAGGGAAGTGGTGCAAAATAGAACCTGAAGTTCAAAAAAATACATACATATATTAATGTATTTCACTAAAAAAAAGACAACCTGAATTTTTTGGTGCAAATTTTGAAAAGGCAGCTTGCATCTGAAACCAGCAGAAATGGTTGATGGCTTCAAATTGCTTTCACTGAGCTTTCATAACCAGGCTAGTTCTTTACTAGGTTCTTGGTTGAGAGAATACACATAAATAATGTAAGAATTACTATTTTACAGCAGTTTTGTGGCAAATGCTGAGGAAATTCTGCAAAATGTGCCTCTGAAAGACTTGGCTGAAAAGACCTATGGCACAGACTGGAGTTTGTCAGCAATTAGAAGCTCTGAGCTAAAACCCACAGAGTTCTTGCTCCTGTAGGATACAACATCATGTCTTGGAGCTGCTCAGAAAGTGTTTGGCAGATCATCAACTACAGCTTGTCTGAATCTGTACTGAATCCTGTAGTCAATGCTTTAGAGCTGAGCATGGGCTACAAATAGGAGCTTTGAAGCAGAATTCTGAAATTCCTTCAAACTCTTATTTTGAGGTCTAGTTTGGTCCTAGAGGTAACTGAGCTAACAAGAAGGTTCAGATGAGAGCTCAAAGAACACTCCAGTCTGTGTGGGACGGATGAGGGATGTAGGGGTTTGCCTTAGATTCACCCTACCACAATACCAATGACAGATTTGTTAGAAGGTGCCATTGACAAAATAAATCTCTCTCAGTGCTTAAAAACCACATGTTTTGGACATTAAAACATTTTATTATATTTATATCAGTATAAATCACCCTCTTTTGTGCAGAATGAAGGAACATGCTAGCAGTTTACTGTACCTATACTCTCAAAAAAATCCCTAGGCAAAACACTTCCCTAAAATCAGCTATTTAATGCAGCCCCTTTGCCAGCTCTTTGCTGTGGGAAGTCAGTCTTTCTTTCATTTCCAAAACCAGACAGATTCTTGTCTTGTGTGTGGAACTGAACTTCTAGGTAAGTGTCCAGGTTTTGGGGTTTTTTTTAAGCTTACTTAAGGTGTGCCTTTTTCTTCTTTGGTATGAAATCAATGGTGAAAGTTGTAAGACCATTCAACAGTACCTTGCCTATACTTGTGTGTTTTAGATTTTGCAAAGCACTGAGGTGACTGTACATGTTCTGTCAAGGTATCAGTTTGGAGTCTGAGATGGAAAAATTCACTTTAAGGAAAGTGAATTACTTAAAATCACGGGAAGAATATGTGGGAAGCTTTACAAAGCAGATTCCTGTCTTTAATTTCTATAGCCTTGGAATTTAACCCTTGGAATCTGTGGCTACTGCTGCAGCTAAAGGATTGACATTGCCCATTCTGGTTTTAGAATAGATTTGGATCAGATAATTCAAATACTTTTTGCACTCAGAGAGAAATATACCACTGATTTCAGTGAGGTCAATTTACTGAGTTGCTAGGATTCCACCATTATTTGCCTGGTTGTCAAGATTTAAAAACACTTCTGCAAATTTTGACCATACCCTATAACAACTTACCTGAGGCAAAACTCCCAGCTTAGAACATTCCTGGTCAATGTTGGATAAAATTCTTCCTTGGTAATATCTATGTATCCTGTCTCTCCTTTTTATTCTGAAACATCACACACAATAATCAAGTATTTAATGAGTAAAATGTTGATGTATTGATTATTATATTTACAGTTTTGATGGGGGAGGGAAATCTGCAAAGCAACAAAACCTGATTCTGGTTTTCTTTAAGAAATACAAATTTAAAAGGAGGTACTAAGGACATATTTCTGAGTAATATTTTTCATATTAAACTGTCTGAAAAAATGTCTATTTACACTGTTTATTAAACAATCAGATTTGCCTCTGGAAGTCACAATTAGTCTGAGTGTTTATGTATGTTCATATACAGTCATATGAAAATCTATATTAGGAAAAAACTCTAAGCTTGTTTCAACTGTCTGTGAACCAAAGGGACTTAAACACTTGCATTTAATGTAGGCCAGTATTTTCTTGGGGAAATCTTATGTTGACTAAGACTCAATGTCAACAATAACAAATTTTCACTTCCTAAAAACTGTAAACTTATTAACAAAAATAATTTGTATTTTTAAAAATACAATGTCACAAGTTTAAATATCAGCTTCTAATAATAAATCCTTTTTATCTGTGTTTTTGAAACTATTTTACTTTGTAACTGGAAACAATACTGAGATGTTTCATTTAGTTGTTTTAATTTATGCTCAGAGAATTATGATTTTTTTTGAAAGATACCGTTTTTAAAATATTGGTTCTTTTAAACAGGATTCAAGTCTTGATATCTAAATAATGGTAAGTCTACAACACTTGTATTTCCTTTCATTATTGTTTCAAATATGCTGCAGAAGACTCAGTCAAACTCAAATTTGAGGGTATCTTTACCTTTATACGACAAGGTGTTCTTAAATTATAATAAACAGTTTTCTGAAAATCCACACTTGGTTTCCTGTACGGCATAGTGTAGTATTTTCTCTGCATAACTGCTTCAGAAAATATATGCAATTTTTTTTGTCATGTCAATGTTATTGAAAGATAACTCCGGCTTCATAAGCAGTGTTACACAAGTGATACAAACATCTCTTTATCACAGACTGTAAAACTCTCCACCAGCAGTAACACCCTTTATGTAAACTTCTTTTGCAAATTAAGGAAATGAACCTTGAAACATCAGAGGAGTGAGAGGAGTAATGCTGCCCGTGTGAATTGTCTCACTGACCTCAAAGGAGTGAGAGCTCTCTCATAATAGTAAAAGATTATAGTGATGCCTTGGTGCCTGCCCAAGATCTATTCCAGGAGGATGTGTATCCATCACTGCATTTATTTAGGATGGGCTGATTGACAATGTTGAAAGAACCAGCCTGTTTTTTTCTGGGTCCTGACAGAAAAATGTTCTTGCAGAACTTTCCTGACCACGATGTGCTGGGCCAGGCTTTTGAAGATGCTCTAGAAGTGCTGCAGCAGCACTCTGACAGAGAAATGCAGCATCCACCAGGTAACAAACACCCTTATTCTACTTCATTTCCCAGCTCCTATTTTTATAGGAAAGCACTTCTTGAAACATAAAGGTGGGTGAGTAATTCCCCAGAAGTGGATTAATGAGATGTTTTGTGAGGATGAAAAGGAGGAAAATTGTTTGGAGGATTTCCACCCCTCCATGAGTACTTCCCAGTGTGGTGAGCATCTTCCAGATCACAGCACAGGGAAACTTGGACTGGCTCTGTTCACCCTCCCCACAGCACCACCCGAGGTGCATTGAGCTCACTTTTTCCATAATCAGAGGGTATATGACTCTTGTGCAACAGCCTGTTTCCAATTTTAATGTTTTAACTTCAAAATGCCCTCCTGCTATGCCATGAATCCCAATGCAAAAACAAAAAACAAAAAACAAAAAACAAAAAACAAAAAACAAAAAACAAAAAACAAAAAACAAAAAAACAGCAACAAAAAAAAAGAGCAAGTGAAATTAATTTCCTCATTTTTTTTGTGCACTAATATATAAATCTTAAATATTTGTACTCAGGAATGATAGTTTGAATCTGGATAATTAATAGAATTTTTTTTTTCTTGGCTTCAAGAGTTGTATACTTTACAAAACTTAAAATGCCAGAAAGCTGTACCTTTCATATGAGGAAGTTTATTTATATATTATCTGTTATAAAATGAAATGTAAATAAGACCAGTAGGGCTGTATCTTCAGCTGTTGTTAGCAAAGTTTTGGCTCCACTGCACTGGTAATTTATACATGCTGGAGGATTCTCTATACATAATTACGTAAAATCTTCTACATTTTATATGTTTTTAGGGCTGATGGAGTTATTAAACTCTTGCAATGCAGTGTTTAGCCTGTCCACAGCTATACCCACATTTCCACTTGCAATAGATCCAGCCATACCCTCCAATATCTTCTTCTGACCACCTTGCAATAGATCCAGCCATACCCTCCAATATCTTCTTCTGACCACCTGCAGTGGGCTATTTTTTCAAATGTCTTTAGTCTGGTGTTGTCCTCTGCTTCTTTTAAGCATCACAAGTTCTTGGGTACCTTCTGTGTCATTCTTTCAGGCAGTGCACATGTTCTGGTGCTCCTTCACTTCATTCGCCATTGGAGACTCTGACTTGCATTGTACTAAAGGGATGCAGAACTGTCTGACAGTCCCTTTTCCTTTCTAGATGTGCTATTGGAGTCTATATTTATCCAATTCACTACGTCTGGTGGTCTATATGGCCCTCTGTTCTCCAGGAACCAAACAATTCCATGATGTTATGAAATATCTAGCATTTTATCTTAAAAAAAAAATTGCTTTTCATTGTGAGGGCTAAAAAAACCAGCCCAAGAGTGTGATCAGCAGCAGCAGTACAGATTTTGCTGGATAACCTGCTGATGTGGAACATCTTGGCTCTGGGCACTTTATTATCTAGGAGGCAGCCACAGGATAAATGCTTTTGAACAGGCCCAGCACCGTGTCAAATTATTTGCTGTTGTTGCTTTTTTTTAAAACTTCTTGTCTCTTTTTTTACTCACTTGGTTTTTGCTCCCTCCTCCTAATTCAGGTTATAAAAACTGCCTGACTGTGATCAACCATCACCACCACCTCCGAGCAAGTCCCAGCTACTGTGCAGCACCATCTGTGGAGGAGCAAGGGTATAACTGGAGAAATGTGATTGTGAGTGAACTAATTTCTAATAATAGTTAATAACTGGAAACTGATTGCTCATTTGGGATTTCTGATACAAATCATTATGCTAACACTAACAGAAATTTGGTCTGGCCAGGCATGATTCAGATGAAACTGCCTTGGGAAATATTTGCAAAATGTGATTAATAATATCTTTTTAGGAGTCAGCAGCTTGTTTCTGATTCTCTTCTGTGGTTCATCACATAACATGACAACTAACAAACAAATACTAGGGAATTAGTTATAGGAAAAAAAGGGCTTCTTTGTATTACCTGGGAACAGGCAGAGAACCACAACTTCCAACCCTGATGTAGCTTCTGACACTGTGGAAAAGAACCACGACTTTGATTTCTCTGACAGCAATTTGTTCTGTAAGTTCTGGAAAGACCAGCATTATCTGAGCACAGCTTCAGCCATCAGAGTCCATATGCATTCTTAAAAGCACTGGGAATGTGGTCTCCAGGAGTGATGGAAAATTAATATTGCAGGGGAGATAATTTCAGGGAAACAAATTCCACAAAAGCCCATTTTCAACCAGCAGATTAACAACAACACAGCATGGGAACTGGAGAGTCTGTTGGAGCTGCTGTCCAGGTGGCCCTTGTCTTTTCCTAGCTCTGAAAGCTGTTCCTGCTCTGCTTCCAGCAGAAGGGTTGAAGGCCCAGAGTGAGGCAGTTACGCTGTTTTCCCTCTCAGCTTCTCCTCTGGTGGGCAGCTCTTGCCCCCAGACATGAATTAGTGCTGCTTGTTACTGGTACACTACACTGAGTGCCTTCGTGGCTGAGAAAAATCTTCCGTGGGCGAGATGATAAAAAGTTGCATTTTGAAGGCTTTGGGCAATTAATCACCACAAATTTCTTTTTATTGGGAGAATGTACCCTATTAGTAACTTTTTATTGTCTTCATTCTTGAAGAACAGTGCCACGGATTTTTATGCAGATGAGGCTGTCTACCATACACTGCAGAACACTCCAGAAAGTCAAGTGATGCATGCTGCTGCTAGCCAGCCAAAAGCAGGGAAAGGTCTGTAAATAGATCATATCTTGATATGTAATTTATGTTACTTAAAAAAAAAACCCTCTTGACAAATCATGCTTTCTCCTTTTCGTATTCTTTTCTAACTTTCAACAGGAAAAAAATGTGAGCATTTGCTAGTGACTAGGATACAGCTGGTAGTGTTCAATTTCCATCTGCTAAATCTTATAAGATGTGATAAATCTATTATTAAATTATTCCATCTTTGCTTAGTACATGGAAAACCAAACCAGAGACGTATCACTTCAAAACATTTAGGATGAAATCTGATGCAGAGAAATCTATCTAGATATCAATAGCATCTTTATCCACTTACACAACTTATTTTATGTGGCCCAGCAAGCAGTGATTTTCTTGACAGTTTTTTACATACATGAATATTATTGCACACCCGATTTTATGCCTCTCTTAGTTTGCTTTTCAAATCACCTTTCAGCTTTGGTCACTTCCAGTGTGCATTTTTATGGTGATTTTTCTGCTCCTTCTGGTTGACTTTACTTGAATTATTACCTATTTTGCAAAGGATTGGTTGTGTGACATTGTCATTGCAATATTTTGTATTTTTATTGCATTCATTTTGTGGGTATTTGGAGGGGAGGGACTCGGCATCCTTTCTGTGAGTGCTGGATGAGATTTTCACAGCTTCAGCTCTGAGCTATTGTACCTACTTTTGATCATGAGGCCTTTTTAAGTAGCTTCCTGAATTGGCTGCTTTTTTGAAATCCCCTTTTCTCAGTTTTAACCACATGGTATCAGTTTTTGGTGTCTCTGCCCATTGATGCTGAACACTGTGGTCTCTGTTGTTTAACACTACTACTACTATTGCTACCACAGACTCTTTGGGATGGAGGGAAGAGTAGCCTCTCTTTCTCAGTTTTCTACTTCAGATATCTGAAATTCTCCATTGAATTCCAAGGAAATGAAAACCTTTCAAATCCAGAAATGTTGCTTTTCCAAGTCTTATCCAGCGTTGCTTTGGGGAATTTTACATGTCACTGTCTGATTTGACCTTCAATTATTACTGCTCTGTTAAACTTCATTTCCTGTTTCCTATTTCCTTTACACTCTCATCAATCTTTTTTTTCCAGAAGACAACCTGCACCTATTTGCAGAGTGACTAACCATTCTTATGGGATTATTTTGTGTCCTCTCACAGATTTCTTTGTGCCCATGGTGATCTTCCTGCCAGAAACCGTGATTTGGGGGACTATTTCCAGTATACTAAATGCATTAAGTCCTCCTAGTTTTTTGTTGAGACATAAGTGGTTTTCTGTACACTAGCAAGTAGTGTGGCTTTTTAGGAGTAGCTCTGCAGATGAAACCATCAGCACTGAGGGCCCAAATCCTGTTTAAAGTGTTTCACAAAATTTTATTTAGGGCAATCTTTAGGCTGGTCACAAGTTCTGAAGGGTACACTGACTCAGATATGCTTTTGGAAAGCATCTTTTGAGACAAGTTTCCTCTGAAAAGAGTTCCAGTTCGTTCACCACAAAACCATTCCATGATCTGAGCTAATGCACAGTGGAGTGGAGGCAGTCAAGAGAGGTACTTCAGAATTGAATTAGATGCATTTTCCCTGAGACAATTAGGCAGCTTCGGGACAATTCAGCACTGAAATCTAATGCAGATACTCCAAAACACCTTCTGGAGGAACCTGCTTGTCTCCAGTCACCACATAAGAAACCTGCAGACACTCACCTGCTGGCTTAGACTGATCTTCAGGGCCTGAAAGTGCCTATCTATCTATGTGGCTTATGGAATGAGATACAATACAAAGATCTGTTAACTCACCCTACTCAAACTACTGTATAGCACTTTGGGGATAACAGCTGGGCTCTGGAAACACAGCTGCACAAACACGTAAGAGCAAATAAGCCCTCTCTAACAAAGACATCAGCTAGAGGTGATGTGTCTAGAAATGAAAACATGGGCAGAAATGACTGCTGAACTAAGAGGCCAAATCAGGTACTAAATCAGGTGCTGCTGCAGACCTGGCTACACTATCCTTTTCCAGCAGAAATTTAGTCCGCAATAGTCCATGGATTTTCCCCTGGTCTTGTTTATTCTACCATCAGCTTGTAGGATAATTTAGGTTGGAGGGGACCTAAGGAGGCTGCCTACTAAGAATTGTCCACTGTGACAAGGCAGTGTCCTTCAAGGGTTTCCTTTTAAGCTTCTTAGTAATCTATATGTATTTCTAGTAGGATATGTACTTCCAGTCACAGGCCAGTTTTTATTTAGATAATGAAAGGTTATTAATTTTTTGGAAAGTACCTCTGATTTCAGACTCTTCTTCTTCCCAGCCCAACTTTTACTTCTGTCCTCTTTCCTTATCACCAGATACAGAGTTACTGTCATCCCTGACAGATGTCTTGACCTCAGTGTTCCCTAGCAACTGTCACTTTCCCCGTTTCTAGTTTAAAATAGCCACACAAGACTTTATGAACTTCAGGTGCAGCTGCTTATTTCCACTTTGGTTAAAGTGGAAGATGTTTTTCTGCGTAGATTCTCTCTTCTGCAAAATGTTCCTCTTTGTTTGATAATCTTAAATTCTTCCTCCTCACAGCAGCTTCTTGGTCCTCACTTGGCTTTGGGAAGGGAACTAGAAGTACTTCATAGAGGAGAATCTACAAGATCTAAGTGAAACTAAGCAAGCCTTACTAGGAAACTGAAGTTTTAGAACTGAGCTTGTGAGAAGAACTTAGTTAACTGGCAAATATTTCAGTATTAACCTTGCTTTATTCTGTATGGGAATGTAAGCTGATACTTTGCAGATTTTTTTAACTATCACAGCTTTTAAATATCATAGCTTTTTGGCTACATGAGGGTTCAAAACTAACCTGCTTTTCCTGCTTACCTGCTTGTCCTTTCTTCTATCAGAGGCTACCTTGCCAGATCCCCAGAACACTCCTGAAACAAACCTGACAAAACTGAACCATCTCAAAATCTCTGAGTTTTGAATAAACAGGGAAACCATTTATTCAAGAATGTTCAGATTGGCTCTCCAGAACCTCTTTCCTGCCCTGTCTGAGGATGTAATTTCCTACTGTGAGTTGCTTGAGTGTGCATCTGCACATCATGTCTCTGAAGACTGGTGCTTCTGAGACCTACCACACAGTGAAGTCACCAGATATTTGTTATCATCCCCACATAACCTTCTCTTGAAACTCTAATGACCAAATCCCTTTCTGTCACCACAGATCTGTACACGCCTCAGAACTAGAGTGTGGTGCTGGTAATGTCAAGGTCGTGGGTTTGCTCCCTGTAGTATGAGCTGTTCACTTAAGAGCTGGACTTGATGATCCTTCTGGGTTCCTTCCAGAATATCATAATACTCAGACTATCCCATGATTCTGCATTGCTCACATCTCTGTGATCCCATTTGCTGTTGCTGGTCTTCCACTGAACAGTTATACTGATCTTTTAATCTGGGACAGTGTACTAGGTGTAGCTATGCTTTTGCCTGTAAGACCCTTTCCAGGAAAAAGACAAATGCTTGTCTTTTAAAACAAACATAAGTCCTGTTCTGACCCTTTGTGATTTATTTCTTTATAGGTAGAAAAAAGCTTCGACTATTTGAATACCTCCATGAGTCTCTCTATGATCCAGCTATGGCAAACTGCATCCAATGGGTGGATAAGCCAAATGGTGTCTTCCAGTTTGTCTCCAAAAACAAGGAGAAACTTGCAGAACTGTGGGGAGAGAGAAAGGGAAACCGCAAGATCATGACTTACCAGAAAATGGCCAGAGCACTGAGGAATTATGGAAGAACAGGTGAAATCATTAAGATCCGTAGGAAGCTGACATACCAGTTCAGTGCTGTTGTTTTAAAGAGACTTGCTCCATCTTATTTCTTGGGAAAAGAATCAATTTATCACCCCTACATTCAGTCTAATCAAGAATATCAGTGTGCAGATGACTGGACCAGTTACAATAGTTACATGTACAACAATGGTTATGCCTTACAGCATGCTAGCAGCTAGACTTACCTGTCACATAAACTGGCCTTTGTTGACCAGCAATACTTTCCAGCACAGAAACTCGTCTCTCTACATAGCTTTTCCTTTAAGATATCATACAAACACATGAAGAGGAAGGTTTAAAAAATTATATTGGCCTAGTTTTGTTCCTTTTGAAGTTAGTGATATATGGTCATTGCCTATTGAAGAAATCCAGCTGATGTAGAACACATACTATTCTAAATTATACTAATCAAAGGAATTACTGTAGTTTCAAGCTGGTACATTCAAGAATAGAACCAAGGCTTTTTTGTCTGGTAGTGGACATCAAAGATCCCATTGTGACAACACTCACTGGAAGTTTTATGCAAATCTCCAATTTAGGTGTTTAGAATTTAGGTGACGTACCATGATTGCTGCATCCCTAAACTAGAAAGGGAAGATACTTGCCAACTGTGTGGAGCTGCTGTCTTCTTTTTTCACCAATGTTCTTTATAAAAGGACATCTTCTGAGTGAATCCCTGGCTGAATGATAGGAGTCCACATGAGGGTGCACCTGTTGATCAAGTTCTTAATCCTTAATTACTTAAATTAACATATCTTAGCACAAATCCTGACACGTGGTATTAGGATTGCCAGGTGCACATTTTACTGTTGGCAGTGGATTCACTGGGACATTGAGAGAGTTAGTAAAGGATTGTGCTTTTGATTAATTTTTCATTAAGTTTTGTACAGTTATTCCCCCACTAATATGAGGAGCTCCACTTTTATCCAGCAGTTCTGTACTGACCTAAAAAAATAGCTTTGCCATTTATTTTAGGACTTATAAATTTATAAATAAAATTTCACTTCTCCAGCTCTTTTTCTAAATGGGAATGTAGCTGGAAAGCTCAGTAATTTTAGTCTCTTCCTGGGGAAGAAGAACTAAATTTAGTCAAAAAGAGAGCAGTGTTCCCTTATGTCAGGATAATACCTATAAATCTACTATTCCTCATACTTCTGTTACCTGATCAACTTGTATCTTCATATGAGTTGTCTTTTGTGCTGAAATATTTCCATTCAATTGTGTTCAGTTCCAAGTTCTGCATTTTGCAGTGTGTAGGCCTGGATATTAATAAAGACAAACATAATTTCTATGGAGAAGTATAAATGGTGGCCTGATATGTTTGATAAAACTCATTGGCTTTGATAGTTGTCCCTTGCTGTGATTCCTGTTTACTCCCCTGTACAGGGCTGTAATTTTTTGTAGTTGACACACTGCAGTGCGCTCTGCTTAAGCAAAATTCAAGCTTTAGGGTTGGTACTTCGGTAAGATGAAATATTTCTGCTCCTAGAAATATGAAGCAGGTTAAATAGCACTGAAAAAAAAGGCCCAGACTTTAAGTCAGAGGGGTTGGACCTCGGAGGAGTGAGCTTTGCCTCTTTGGAATGGGCGGTGGCTCTGGACCCACAAGATGGCAGCAGTGGCCAGCTTTTCACACCGAGGCTGTGACCCTTGTGGGTCACATTTGTTCTCCCTATGTCCCTTTAGGTTATTTTTCTTCCCCACCATGTGTAGTTTTCTCACCTTGGCGCACAGCAGTGCTGCAGGTGCGGCAGAGGCAACACTGTGCCTTTGGACACCACAGCCCATCCAGCTCCAGCTGTGGCAGGGACAGAAAGTGTGGTGGCACAGCCCTGGCACTAAACCCACCAAATAAAGCAGATATATCAGCAGATCAGAGCTCTGTGCTGACTGCCCTGGACAGGGGCCCCTTCTACAGCTGACGCTCAGTGTCTTCTCCAAAATAAATCTGCCTCGGCCAATGTGGCTAGGGGTGATGCGTGAGGGAGAAATAAAGCTGGTCTTTCTGATTTAGACTTCAGGATTCCTGCAATTCGCTGAATAGCGAGTGCACCGTGCAGAAAAATCCCTGTCGATAGTGACAGCAGAGGGCGTTTGCCGAGAGGCATCGTTTCCTTGGGTTTCTTAGTTCCAGCAGATATTGCTGTGAGTTACCAGCTGGCCTTCTGCAGGTGACACTTCCACCTGTGTGAGGACCTCTGCTGAAACCTACCACTGCCTTGAGTCTTATTTCACTCAACTTTTAGCTGTCTTACCTGCCGACTTGCTGTGAATTCCACGTGGCGTAATTTGGACCAAAAGCTGGCAGCAGTACCCGTGGACTCATCCTTGGTTTATAAATGTGCATCAGCCAGCAGCACAGTGCCTATCTTATGATGTTTTCCTGTCTTTTCTTCTATCACCTTCACTGTCAGATTTCAAAGGGCTCTGTAAAATCCCGATATCCCCATGGTATCTGCAGATACCGTGCAGAGCAGGGCATGCTTGAGGCACAGTCAGATGTGCATGGATCAATGGCAGGTGAGGAGAATTCCAGCATCCAAAGCCTGTCCTGCAGCAGGCAGTCAGGGCTGCCATGTGCTGATCCAGTTTCCTGCTGTTTCTGAGGCATCAAAATGAATAAAATAATTAGCAGGATCCAACCCATGCATTGGAAGTGCCCAAAAGAGGAGCGAGCAGTGCCCCACTGACTCATGCAGCACACCTGGAGGCTTTTCGTGTAGCTCATTTGAGATTTGAAATGTGGGATCACAGAACGGTGGAATTGTTGGAAAAGAACTTCTAGATCATCTAGAGTCCAGACCAGCACTGCCACATGCACCACAAAACCTTGTCCCTCAGCACCACATCCAAATGTCTTTTAAATCCCTCCAGAGACGGTGGCTCAATCAGTATCCTGGGCAGCCTGGTCCAGTGCTTGGCAATCCTGTCACTGCATAAGTATTTCCTAACATCCAGTATAAACATTCTCTGGAACATCTGGAGGTCGTTTCCTCTTGTCCTATGGACACCTTTTTGCCTGAGCAGAGCATTTCTTTTGCTTTTTTTCCTAGTGAGGGAAGTTTTATCTAATTATGACAGTTGGGAACTTCGGGCCAGGCAGTTTTGATGCTGGGCATACATTTTAAAATACCACTCTCCAAAGGCAACCCAGCACCTAAGAGGCACCAGCCACCTTGTTAGGAAGTCACACATTGAACAGTCAGTGTTGATACAATGGATTATAAGGTGAATTACAGTGCAACCAGGCTGTATTAGCAAGATGCCATCAAACTGCACGCAGAGTGTAAACTGATGGACGGAAAAGTAAATTCCTTATTTGACATTCCAGAAACACATAACCTGAGCCAAGAGTTCAAGAAGCACAATGAAATAAAAGAAACAGACAGCTGCTTGTTTGTCAGGATATCTCTGTGTAGAATTAGAGGCTTTAATTACATATGGAGAATATTAATAACAGTTCAAAGTGGAATGTAGCTAATCATTACGGTAGGATCTCCAAGCAGAGTGGTGGTGAAGCCATGCAAGATTTTCTTTCAGAGGAAATGAAAACTCAGCAAATCTATTTAGAGTACTAGCAGTGTGTAGTAGTCCGAGAATCTAGGTTGACTTTTCTGCCTCATTAGAACAGAAAAATTCAATCACAGTTAGAAGACACAGTTCTTTACAGATTTTGCTAACCTCTCTAGTCATCCTGAGATCCAGAAAACACAGAAGATGGCTTTAAAAAAAAAGAAATAATAATAATAACAATGATAATAATAGTATTTGAATTATGTGGTTTGCCTTCTAGTTTTTAAGTTTTTAATTTTTATAATTAAAACAGTCTGTACCCAGCAATGTTGAGGCTAACACTCCTCAAAAAGGAACCAGTGGCTGGCAGAGCTGAGATAGTTGGAAAAGCAGCACATTTGAAGAGATGCAGAATAGTGAGAACTCCATCTTCTGTACAAGCATCAACATGCTTCATAATGAGGCAAACTCATCTACTGCAAGTGGTTATTGACTTGCAGAGAGGGATGAAGGAATTGGTTCTTCAGGGTTTAGTTTGGCATATGGGAAGCATTTAACTCCCTCTCTGACCTCTGTGCAAAAAAAGTCACTTCTGACATAGCTCTGGTCTACAGAGTTGAACTATATTTGCCAAATTTTAAATTTAAACCCCTGTTGTTACACCAGCATTTCTCTCCTAGTGTGAGTTCTTATTCCTTGTGGGTCTCTGAGAAATCCATATTTCTCTGGGATAAGCATTAAATGAGCATACTGCCAGTAGTCGAAGGAGCAGGAATTCTTTATCTGGACTAAGCAAAGAAATGTTTTAATGAAACAGCTCTGCAGGATTTTAACTGTTGCAGGCTGCAAGTAACTGGAAACATAAGTCTTTCTGATTTCTGTATTGATTTCTCTCAGATACAGCATGCTTTAATTTCCAGTGTGTGTCTGCCAGTTTGATTTCTTCTCGTATTTTGGAGTCCCCGGGTAGCTGTAATTCAGCCTTGGCCTGCCCTCTGACATGGTGAGGACAGCAGCACACAATCAATGGCAGACTTGCTCCTATTAATCTTGTTCAGTAAGGACCTGATTCTCCTTCTGTAAAGGGCAAGAGGACAGTTCACACCATCTTCAGAGTAGGCAGGAGAGTGTCCCATGCACTTATGGCTTCAGCAGCAGGTGTTCCAGGGTACCCACATTAATCTTCCCCTTTGCTGAGATTTAGACTTTTGCCACCCTCTACTTGGCTGAAGTCAAATATCCATGAAATCTGACCCTCCAGCATAAGGTGTGAAAGGTGTTGCCACCTGCCATAAAGGTCTTCACTCATTTTAATTGCAAGAAAAAAATAACCAGTTCACTTGAAAAAAATGGCACCTTTAAAAGTGCTTAAAATTACCTTAAGCTTTTATAATAATGATCTCTTAATGAGACTGAAAGGAAAAAGAACTAATCTACCATGAGGAAGGTGAATTTCTTACTTTCCAGAGGCAAAGGTCTGCCACTCCTATGGATTTTATGCTCCCAGGTACAGATGTTGGGTTTGGGTCAGAGAAATGACTCACCAGCCTGAGACTTGGGCCAGAACCTTTTGGAAGCAGAGGAGTCTTCATTTGAGAGATACAGTCTGCCAAGGCCATGAATGCCTGCACTGGGCCTGCACATGAACATGTGTCATTGTCCCACTGTTTCATAGTTAATTTTTCAACAGCAGCTGTTAAAAGATACCCAGAGGCCTGGAATGCAGCAGTACTTCCTGGGAAGGTAGATTAAGCTTCAGTCCCACAGGGATTTCCATCTGGAAGTTTTTATTTTGTATGGTGGAAAACTCATGTAAGTCTGTCTAGGCACAGGCTTGTGCAGAGGAGACCCACTGGCTAAATGCAGTCCAGCTGGTCAGCAGCTCAAAAATTATGTACTTTAGGTGATTACATGACCAAATATGACATTTATTTCACATGGATTTTCAAACATAGATGAGGCATACATATGTGCTTAACTCAAGCACTCAGAGTGAAGTGGTTACAGTTTTTATATGTTTGCATCATTTATGTTAAGATATTAATTAACATATGCGTGCACATCAAAGTTTATGTGTGATTCTTGGACACCAAAATAGTAAATATTTAGGCTGTCTGTATAGATTGAAACACAAAGAGAGAAAGGCATGGGCTATTTGAACCCTTTCTATGCCTTTAATATGATATCTGTTGGTGTTCAATTATTTGTGTTAGTGGTTCATCAGACAGTTGAACTGTATCCCATGAAAATAATTTTCATATCATGTTACACTTTGAGTTTAATTTTTTTCTGATTTACCTGTGTTGGGTGAGATCTGAGGAAAGGTGCAGGAAAGGCTGGCAGTGTTTGTTGGTGAGGATAATCTGCCTTGCAGGGACACCATTTCTTTGGTGTTATTTGGTAGCTGCAGCATTGCAGGAGGGTTGGAGCTCTTTCCCACTCCCAGAGGAGTCACAAGTGTCTAATCAGAGCATTTCAAAAAGAGGCATGCAAAGGCTTCATATACTGCTTTGATCATGATCTGAATACTCCCAGTTACTTAATTATCTTGTTATGACTAGTCTAGCCTAGGAGTCACAAAATCGATGTTTCAAATTCCAAAAGGCATTGTAGATTGTCTGCTCCATTTAGGGACAAGCACATTGGGAAATCTGTGTTCAGACCCAGCTCCATGAGAATGAGGGTTGTTAAAAGTTGGTGTTTGCATTTGATTGTTTCTTCTGCTTAATGCTCTCAGGAAGCATTGCTTTGGATAGGAGGATTTATTGCTGTTTGGTTTTCAGCCTTTTTCT